GGAGTGGTGTATGGGCTGTGCCTCATTGGGTTGAGAAGGTCATGCATGGGCCAGGGATATAGCTCAGTAGCATAAGCACCTGCCTGGCAAGTACAGGGTCCTGAGTTTGATTCCCGATACAAAAACAAAAACAAAAACAAATGAAGCTCTGCATGAACTCAGCTCAATTATTTAGCCGGGCATGGTGGTGCACGCTTGTAATCCCAGCACTTGGAAGGCTGAGGCAGGAGGATCTTTGGTAGTTCGAGACCAGTCTGGGCAACAAAGTGAGCTCAAGGCCAGCCTGAACTGCACAGTGAGACCCTGTCTCAAAAAGACAAAACAACAAAAAAAAGAGAAGGTCATGCATGAAGAGCATATAGCACACTCCTGGCTCCAGATATTGGTGAATGCTTTAAAAAGATAAAAGCAATTGTCTGTAGATAAAGATGTTTCTGTGTAAATAAGGAGTCCTCAAGTTTTTTGTTTTTTGGGTTTTTTTTCTTTGTCTTATTGAGACAGGGTCTTAGGCTGGCCTTAAGCTCACTTAGTAGCCCAGGCTGGTTTTGAACACTAAGGCAGTAATCCTCCTGCCTTAGCTTCCCAAGTGCTGGGATTACAGGTGTGCACCACCACACCCGCAGGAGTCCCTAATTTCGTTTTGTTTTGGTTTGGTTTTTGGTACCAGGAATTGAACTTAGGGCCTTGTGCTTGCCAGGCAGGTGCTAGAGTCCCCAGTTTTAACATCAGGAAACTAAATATAACAAGTACTACTAGGCAAAAAATTCTGGATCTCAGATCTCCTTTCTGGTATTCCAGAGATGGGGTTGGGGTGAGGGACGACTGGGGATCATGTTAGTGACACATTTTTTCATCTATGATCCTAGATCCTTTATGTAGAAGTCCTCCCTTCTGTCCAGATTTAGCCTCTATTCCTCTCCTTGTTGGTGCCTTTTCTAATCCTGTCACATTTTTTTTTTTGTCTTCTAAAGTTTACGCTATGGGTTCAGTTGCAGTCAGGAATCCTTGTGAGAGTGTGTGTGTGTGTGTGTGTGTGTGGAAGTTGGGAGCTCTGATGTGTCTCTTTTGCACTGGTATCCAAGGTTTGCCTATGTTCCCTTTGCTTCTGGAGTTAGATCTTGAGTAGCTCAATGTCCTTTTGTGTGTGGCGCAGGCCTTATAGCGTGGTCTCCTGTAGGGGCAGCTTGGTAGTACCCAGAGCCAAGGCCTGGTGCCCTGTGTGATGTTCGTGCTGAAGGAGATGCTTCCCAGCTACCACAAGTGGCGCTACAACTTCCACAGTGTTCGGGAGCAGATCGGTGAGGACGGCATGGGTAGAGGAAGCGTGAGGATGACTAGGCCCCAACACATTGCTTCCTCTGCCTCGTGGGATGAGGGCTATCACACAAGGCCATGTCATTGCTGTCTTTTCTGGGGTCCAGGTTGCCTGATCCTGGAGCTGATTCATGCGATACTGAACCTGTGCCAGGAGACGGAGCTGCACAGCAGGTAATAAGGGGCTGTTATTGGAGCTCGAAGCTCACCGGGTAACCCTGGTGAGCTTTGGCCATGTAAAGCCATCTCACTTTTTCCAGAGAACTCGCCTTGGTCGGACCCAGAGTTCCTTAATGTTGAGGTTGTGATTTCCTTTCTGCTGGCCTGATTATCATTTCTCCCTGTGGGAGAGGAGAGCAGATGAAATGCCAGTGAGATGTTGTGTTCCTTTGGTACATGCAGATATATACACTTTATCATTTTTATGACCTTTACAAAAATCATTGGAAATACTTATCCAGTGCAAAATGCCCTTCGTAATCTGCTTCCCAGATGTGGCTTATTAACAAGTTTGTGTCTTTTTCTAGGTTTCTTCCTCTGCTTCTGCAGCCTGATTTATCTTTCTATGCTGCTGCATATAGATCTGTCTTATTTTATGTATGGGTTAGTCAAGGTTCATTTCAGTAAAAACGTCCATCAGTTAGTTAATGGGTTTTTAGATCGCTTCTCAGGGTGATCCTTAGGATCAGTTCTATTTTAGGAAAGTGAGCAGAGTGCTTTTGTTTTGCAGCACTCTGATGTATCATCAGTGTTGATTTGGTTAGGTTTGTTCTCCTGGCCCAGCTGGGCCCTTCCCTTCCAGTAGTAAGTGCGGTAGCCTTGTAACTCAGAGCTCTCCTGTCTTCTAGTCACACCCCGAGCCTGCAGTCTCTCTGCATCTGCAGTCTGGCATACACGGAAGCAGGGCAGACAGTTACCAACATAATGGGCATTGGTGTGGACAACATCGACATAGTGATGGCCTCTCAGCCCCGAAGGTAGGACTCCCTGTCCACCTTTCCCCTCTTGTCTTTGTTTGTTTATTTGTTTGTTTGTTTTCCGGTACCGGGGATCGAACTCACGACCTCGTGCTTGCCAGGCAGGCACTGTGCCGCTGAGCTAAATCCCCAGCCCCCTCCCCTCTTGTTTTTATTATGCCTGCTTCTAAGGAATCCAGTTTACATTAACTTGCAGTAGCTTTTTAAAGACAACTTTGTTCTTCCTAGTATGGAGCCTTTATGTGAGCGAGTGGCTGCTGTGTAGATGGGTGCATAGCCTGGTTACTTGCCTTCTCTTCCTCTCTCCAGTTGGGACTGGGGCCTCTCACACAAACTGCTGAGCTCCAGGGTTATTGTTGGAACCTGGTTTAGGAGAGCACATATGTGATGAGTGAAGTCATGTTGTCTGAGTCAACTTGGGTTTCCATTCTAGTGATGGCTTAGAGGGCCAGGGCCAGGGCCAGCTACTGATCAAGACCGTGAAACTGGCATTCTCCGTCACAAACAATGTCATCCGGCTGAAGCCGCTTTCTAATGTGGTGTCCCCACTGGAACAGGCTCTCACCCAACATGGTATGTATTTCTTTTCGGGCAGCAACATTTTTGACCATGAACCCTTATTTTGTGTTATGTTATGTTATGTTATATTATGTTATGTTATGTTATGTTATTTTTTTCCTTTACTTTTTAGTTTTTTGTCTTTGAGACAGGGTCTGACTACACAGTTTAGGCTGGTCTTGAATTCACTTTGTAGCCCAGGCTGGCTTTGAACTTGCAGCAATCCTCCTGCCTCACCCTCCCAAGTGCTGGGATTATAGACGTGTGCCACCGTGCCTGGCTCCATAAACCCATGTTTTAAGCTGTGTTTTTATTTTTTTTATTTTAAAGAGAGTAGTAGGGGCTGGGGATTTAGCTCAGTGGCAAAGCGCCTGCCTGGCAAGCGCAAGGTCGTGAGTTTGGTTCCCGGTACCGGAGAAAACCTCCCCCCCCCAAAAAAAAAGAGAGTAGTAAATGAGAAACAAACAAACTAAAAATAGAACAGTAGCAGCATACCAGTATCACAAACATAAAAAAGTCAAAGCAAGAACGTTTAAAGTGATACAGGGTTTCAAGACAAAATAATACGAAT